CCTTGTTCAGCTAGGACATGGTGCAAACAACAACCATGGGAGGAAATACACCTTTAATATTAATTACCAAGCATCGACGTGAATTACTTTAAAATTAACTGTTGCCAAGTATCTGCCTTATTTTACTTGGGGTTGAGTTGCTCCGTCACTTCTTTTTGGACTACTCACATTTGGGCATTTAATGATCTTGCTTTAACAACAGTAAAATTAATATTGCAGGGCTACGACCCTGACGATGAAGACTACTTCGACATGGACTCACATTACACAGGGTTCCAAGTGAAGCTTGATCATATCGACCCTACCATAGATGTAAGTTGACGAATATATATTTTCTTATCTTTTTACAAGAAAAACACTCGTTTGGCGTGATAATGTAGTGTATAAGCTGTATTTTATTATCAATACCGCCAGGCGCACATTTGGCATATTTTGATCCTTAATGTCACATAATGTGTCTGGTATTCAAATCACCTTCCATAATGCTTCACCACATAGTACATGTATCTAAGTATAGATGAAGATATTTGGGATACATATTGTGTTGTTTTGTTTTCAGTATTCAATTAGGAGACCAACGGTGTACACCCGTCCTTACGGTCCTCACCACAACTAAAACAACCCGAGATAAATGTGAATGTAATATGCGTTCTACTGCCACCTAACGAACATTTCACGTCACCTATCGAGCACTTCACATGATGCTATTGGCACTACGGATTACGGATTATGTGGCGGTACACAAACTCAAATCAGCGACTATGATATAGATTGCGTTTTATAAAACAGAATTTCGTGAATACAATATTCAATATCATGATGAGAATAGGATATAGATCTGAAATTGAAGAAATCACTGTAGATACAAATGTCAAAAAATGTCGAACAAATATTGTTTACTGTAGAAAAAAAAAAACATTTTATAGCACTTTTCGCGCCGGAATGATTTGTTTTTTCCCTTTTATATACCAGTATCTATATCTGTGTCGTATATTTAATCTTTCTTTGTACCCTTGATTGTATATTTTGATTAGCCACCTTTGAACAAGATTATATGCACAAGTATCCAAAACTGAACTGATGCATGATTAATAGCATTGTAGATGGTTATAAGAAATTAACCACACGGTGCATGTGGTAGGCGAGCTGGCAGTGGTCAACTGGAACTTAACACAAACCCTTGCATCCAAGTTATCCAAGTAAAGGAATGGAAACTTAAGACATTCTTTCGAAAATATCCTTGGAGGCCATAATCACATATTTATGTTACAGAATGGTAATGCTACCCCAATGTAACAGTAACCTGACCCCCCCCCCCCCCCCATGGCCAGCTTAATTCCCTAGGTCCAAAGGATGTGTAAAGGCCGGGTCACACTGCACTTGCGACCTTTTTGCAACCTTTTTGCAACCACAAAATCTGGCGGTCGCTTGCGACCACTTTGCAAGCTAATAAAGGAGCTGTGGCCAATTTTGATCGGCAAGCAGTCGCAAACCGGTTGCAACAAGGTTGCAGTATGGTATCTGCAACCTCTTATAGACCATCTTCAAGTTATAGGTTACCAGTCGCACACTGTTTGCCGAGCGATACACAACCTGTCTGCAACCACTTGGTGACCGAAAACCGGTTGCAGGACTGTAGCAATCGCTTGTCAACTGGTAGCAGCAAGGTCGCACAGAATATATATGTTGCCAACTTGTGACAGTAGCTGCTTTCCCATAAATTTCCCTCTCAAAAGACAAAAATGTTCTAGTAAAACGACTCCTTTTCAAAAAGACGGGACTGCTATAATCATTGACTTTGTTTACCTAAGAAGTAAAACGAGTAAAAAAACTCGAAAATACTCGGTGAACCCGTGGATTGCAAGACGCCCCTTGTAAGGCGATTACAAACATTTGATGAAAGAACTTCGACTTGAAAATTAGAAAGTTTTCATTTCCTTCCTAAAAATAGAACCAACAATGTTTTGTGAACTTTTGAAAAGACTTCACCCTCACCTAACGAAACCAGTGCTGTAATAAAAAACATAAACTTGCGTACGTTTTAATCCTTATTAATCTCATAATGCTCTTTAATATTTTCTTGTTCAAATACTTGGTCTCTTTGACGTCGCAAGGCCTGTGCAGTTACGGGTACACTGGACAAAAAACCTCTTTGCGACTAGCAACTGTCACCGGTTGCAAAAAGGTCGGCGACCGGTTGCAACAACTCGCAAAGTGGTTTCCAAATGAACGCTGGGTTAATATCCAGTTGCGCCGGTTTTCGTTGCAGCACCGATAACCTCCTGGCG